TATTGAAATTAATAGGAGTGTATTATAGATATAATTTAATAAGTTTTTATAAAAGAAAAAAATAGGAAAAAGAAAAAAGAATTAGAAGATACGAAGCAGAGATCGTGATACTCGTTGTTAGCCTCTTAAATACTCAATAAAATAGGTTTGATGCTCATTAAAAGTACAATATTGCTCTTTTAGCGGATGTTGACACTTTGAATCACACCAACACAATTCAAGCTACAGATTAAACGTCATATGCTTTTAATGCATACATCATTCTAAAGTAAAATCAAACAAGAAGAATGCACAGTGTGTGTTTTTCTTTTTTTTTTGTGGTGATCAAAGTCATACACTTTGATGCACCGGTTTTTTTCATTTATAAAACAACATGCTGAACAAACAAAACAGTTACAACTTCTAATCTAAATCCACTAACCCACGAACACACATGCAGTAACTTTCTACGTGGGTTATAAGAGACACAAATAATAAAAGACTTAACTGACAAATGTTAAATCAGATCCACGTATGAAATCCTTAGCTGACAAAACTTAACCCCACATTCACTCCCTTAAGCTTTGTCAGCTCACTTGATGATCTTCAGTCCTATCTTCTCTCGCAGCTCAACAAATCTTTGTTTAGCAAGGGGCTTTGTAAGAATATCGGCTAGTTGCATTTCTGTTTTCACATACTCCAGATTGATGTCATGATTTTCAACACATTCTCGAATAAAATGAAACCTTGTGTCTATATGCTTGCTCTTCTCATGATATACTGGATTCTTGGCCAAGGCAATTGCTGACTTGTTATCCACAAACAATGTTGGTTTCTTCTCAGTAGTCTTCAAGCTCTTGATCAAACGTGATAGCCATATTCCTTGACAAGTTCCAGCCGTGGCAGCTATGTATTCTGCCTCGCAAGAGGATAATGCCACTATCCTTTTTTTCTGTGATACCCAAGTAATTGGGTTGTCTCCAAAAAAATATACAATACCTGTGGTACTCTTTCTATCATCCACATCACCCGCAAGATCACTATCACAAAAACCATACAATTCTGCTTCTGTCTGGTTCTTCTTATACACACAACCCATGTTTAAGGTTCCTTTGATGTATCTTAGAATTTGTTTAACTGCATCCATATGAATGGAAGTTGGAGACGCCATATATTTGTTTACCACCCCCACTGAATAGGCTAGATCTGGCCTTGAGTTTACCAAATATCTTAAGCTCCCTATGATGCTTCAATATAGTGTTGGATCTGTCACTGGTTCCCCTTCATATCTACTAAGATTCCTTCTTGGTTCCATTGGAATATGACAAGAATTACACTCTGCCATACCCAGTTTTTCAAGGATTTTCTTAGCATAGCTTGATTGACACAAACTGATGCTATCATGCCTCTGCTTCACCTCAATTCCAAGATAGTAGCTTAACAAACCTAGGTCACTCATCTCAAACCTGTTCTGCATCTCTTGTTTGAAGTTATGTATTGTCTCGGTGCTTGAACCTGTTAGAATGAGGTCATCAACATACACTCCCACAATCATCACATGATGCCTATTCAGTTGAGTATAAACAACATGCTCATAAGGACATTTTACAAAGCTAAGAGATTTCAAACACCTATCCAGTTTTTTGTTCCATGTCCTTGGAGCCTGCTTTAATCCATACAAGGCTTTGTGAAGCTTAAAGACCTTGTTTGGATTGTTCTTGTTTACAAAACCCTCTGGTTGTACCACATATACTTCTTCCTCCAATTCCCCATTGAGAAAGGCTGTTTTTACATCCATATGATGTACTTCCCAGTTCATTTGTGCAGAAAAAGCCAATATGAGTCTCACAGACTCTAACCTTGCCACATGATCAAACACATCTTGATAGTCTATTCCATATTTTTGCACATACCCCTTTGCCACTAACCTGGCCTTGTACTTTATTATATCTCTTTCTGGATTCTTCTTGAGTTTGTAAACCCATTTTAACCCAATGGCCTTCTGATTCTTAGGGATGTCAGTGAGCTCCCGGGTTCCATTCTTCTCAATTGACAAAATTTCTTGAGCCATTGCTTCTTCCCAATTCTTATCTCCTGCTACTTCTTCATATCTTCTTGGTTCATCAATAGTTAGGAAGCACAATCCAGCTTCTTCACTAATTTCCATGGTTGATTCATAGATATCCTGAAGTGTTCTGTATCTATGATTTCCCATGCTAGAATCTGGACTTATGTCTAGTCCAGATGAGTGTTGTGGTGTGGCAGGTTGTGATTCATTTTCTTCACTTGAATCTGATGTATCAACCTCTAATCTGTCTTCTGAACCTCTTGTGTTAACTGTGAAGATCTCACCTGTGTGTGTCACTTCATTTGTTTGATTTTCTCCCCATGACCAACTCTTTTCTTCTTCAAAGACTACATCTCTGCTTATGATGATTTTCCCCATGATTGGATCTAGTAACCTGTAGCCCTTTGTACCTTCTTCATAACCAAGCATCACAATCTTTGTACTCCTATCTGCCAGCTTTGTAAGATGTGGAGATACTGTTTTGGTATGTGCAACACAAGACTCTAAAATGCTCTATATTTGGTGCTCTCTCATACCATGCTTGATATGGGTCATTTTTTCAACACTTTTAGTAGGTGCTCTATTCAAGATATAGACTGATGTCTTTACTGCTTCTCCCCACAATTTTGCAGGAATGTGTTTGCTTTTCATAATACTCCTTGCCATTCCCATTATTGTCTGGTTCCTTCTCTCTACTACTCCATTTTGCTGAGGTGAATATGGAGTAGGTAAAATCCTTTTAACTCCTTGATCTTCACAGTATCTCATGAATTTAGTAGAGGTAAACTCTCCCCCTCTGTCTGTTCTAAAACATCTCAGCTTCCTAGACACTTCATTTTCAGCCATTGATTTGAACTTCTTAAACATTTCAAAAGCCTCACTTTTGTGCTTAAGTAGAAAAATCCACATGAATCTGGTGAAATCATCTACAAGTAGCATGAAATAGTTATTACCTCATGATGTTGTAGGCGAGATAGGTCCACACAGATCTCCATGGACTAACTCAAGCTTCTCTTTTGCTCTGAAGGTTGTTTTATGTGGAAAAACATTCGTGTGTTGTTTTCCAATGACACACCCATCACACACTTGATTCACTTGGCTTAACTGTGGGAGTCCTTCAACCAGTTTCTGACTTGCTAATTTACTCAAGGCCTGAAAGTTTAAGTGTCCAAACCTGGCATGCCATAACCAAGCTTGATCTGTAATCTTGGCCATTAGACACACTCTCTCTGCAGTATGCAGCCTTACTGTGTAGAGTCTGTTTTGTTGTCTTTCAACATTTATGACAAATCTGTTTGTTTTGTCATAAACCTTCAAGATTCCACCTTGTATTGCTACTCTGCTTCCATCTTCATCCAACTGTCCCAGGCTAATGATACTACTCTTGAGTTTAGGTATATAATACACATTAGATAAGACTAGGTGCTCCCCATTTTTACATTGGAAAGCAACTGAGCCTAACCCATGTATATTTATAACTGAGCCATCTCCAAAACGTACCTTGCCATTTATAGAATGTTCAATGTTGGTAAAGCAGTCATTGTTTCCAGTCATATGATTACTTGCACCAGTGTCTAAATACCATCCTACCCTATTCATGTTGTTTTCTTCTTCTTCAATCAACCTCTCACCTTTGTTGTTTATGTTGTTTAGTTCACAAGTCTCAATCATCAAAAGGGATGGTTCTTCAAGTTCTTCATCCTTAGTGAGATTTGCTTCCTCATCCTTTTCACTTGACAAACATTCTGAAGCAAAATGTCCTAACTTCCCACAGTTAAAGCAATCTATCTTAGATTTGTCAAACTTCTTCTTGGGTTGAGATGACTCTCCTTCTTTTCTTTGGTACCCACCAGTTCCTCTTCCACGACCTCTACCCAGTGGCGGACCCACCAAGGGTCCCACGGGGTCCCGGGACCCCATGAACTTTCAAAAAAAATACCTATATATATTATATGTATTTTATATAAATTAATAATAAAATGTATATGTAAGATGAAAGCTAATTGAGAACATGAATTTGACATTGTAGCAGTGGAAGCATGCTTGAATCTAAAAGTTTAGCTCCTCACGGAGGTACATGGTTCAATTCTTAGGTGTTTCTTTTTGTTTTTTCCCTATTTATTAGGGAAAACAACATAAGCAGTACTATAAGCGTATTTCCGAATATTATTTATTGATTAGACATTAGTTTTTAATGTCTTAAATTAGTGGATTTTTTTTAAAGTGACTCCATTTTATTTTTGTTCTACACTCAAATAGTTGACATTATTAAAAACTATTTCTAAAGTATGTATTATTATTGGTTCATTGAAGATAGTTTGTATTAGGAGTAATTTGAGTTTGCACTCCATTTTATTGTCCAAATTGGACTTTGCACAATATTTTTAAAAATTTTTGTTTATGCACCCCAACCCCTTATGAAAAGACAAAAATGTCCCTCCAGTAACAATTTTGTTGGCCTTCAACATATTCCTGATCGATGGGCATTTTTGTCTTTTCATACGGGGTTGGGGTGCAAAAACAAATATTTTTAAAAACGAGGTGCAAAGTCCAATTTGGACAATAAAATGGGGTGCAAACTCAAATTACCCCTTTGTATTATTTAAAGTTATTTTCCCTATTTATTATTTTAAGTTGCCATAAATAATCGCTCGTTTAGAAAATTATTGGAATAAACATACTATAATTATAGGATATTATTTTTCTATCTGTGACATAAATATTATTTTTCTAAACGAACGATTATTAATTTTCTAAACGAACGGTTATTTATGTCACTTCATTTTCTGAACGATCTTAGTTTTATAGTAATTAGACTTGGATTAGAGATATAAAAGGATAGGGACCCTGTGGCCCTGACTTTCTAGGTCCGCCACTGCCTCTACCTCTTCATCCTCTATTGCTTCCTTGTATTCTCGTTGGTGTGTTTTGGGAATCTTGTCCTTCCAAAGCCTTCCATTCTGCTTTAGTCAGAAGAACAGATTCATCATGATTATTTCCAAAACCAACCAATCTTTCTTCATGTGCCTTGAGTGAACCAACAATTTCATCAACTGTCTTAGTGTTTAGATCTCCAAACTCCTCAATAGTTGAGGCTATTTGAAGAAACTTTGGAGATGTAGATCTCAGAAGCTTCTTTACCACCTTAACCTCCTCTACAGTGTTTCCCAAGCCCCTTAGCTTAGTTACAATTGTAGTGAATTTTCCTGAGAAATCATCAACTGTTTCTGACTCTCCCATCCTTAGAGATTCAAACTCTCTCCATAAGGTTTGTGTTCTTACCTCCTTAACCTTGTCTGCTCCAAGATTCATGTTCTTCAGCATATTCCAAACCTCTTTTGCAGTTTTCTTTGCACCCAATTGAAGTAAAACATCTTCTCCAATGCCTTGATAGATAGCGGCCAACGCCATTTTGTCCCTTCGATTATCTACAGGTCCTTCAGCTTCAATGGCATCCCGCACTCCTTGTGCTACCATAAAAACTTCCATTTTTATGGCCCATGCAGCATAGTTACTTTTAGTCAGCATGAGATACTTGAGTGTTATGGAACTCACATCTCCTTCAGTTGTGCTGCTGTTGCCTTCTCCTGACATACTTTAAATCATAGAACATGATGCTCTGATACAAATTGTTGACACTTTGAATCACACCAACACAATTCAAGCTAGAGATTAAACGTCATATGCTTTTCATGCATACATCATTCTAAAGTAAAATCAAACAAGAAGAATGCACAGTGTGTTTTTTTTCTTTTTTTTTTTGTGGTGATCAAAGTCATACACTTTGATGCACCGGTTTTTTTCATTTATAAAACAACATGTTGAACAAACAAAACAGTTACAACTTCTAATCTAAATCCACTAACCCACGAACACACATGCAGTAACTTCCTACGTGGGTTATAAGAGACACAAATAATAAAAGACTTAACTCACAAATGTTAAATCAGATCCACGTATGAAATACTTAGCTGACAAAACTTAACCCCACAGCAGAAATCATGATTTTTCGTTTAAATTACAAAAATGACACCGAATTGTTTTTGACATGTATTAGTGATTAGACTGCCTTTCTTACTTGGGCAGGGTGTACGTGCACCCGGATGCATACTTTCTTGTTTTTAGTGCATCACTACTACAGCTAGGAATCCCACGATTTGAACTCTTAAAACTATAAAAACAGGCAGAGGGACAATGTCTTATCCTATTTTCTATAAATTTTATCCTAAATAGAAGTATATGAATCCAATTTCGAGAAGAAAATATTGATATTGTTTTTCTTATTTAAGAAATTTTCTCCATATTATATTGTACTCCCAATTTAGAAAAACAAGTCATTTTTTGTTCAATACCCAATATACAATTTGATCCGTGGAGTAGACAATCCAAAGAGTTGTAAAAAAATTGTTATATCGTGGGAGCAGGCCGTGTTGAACATGGTGCTCACATAGGCAAAACACATATGGTCCACGCGTGAACAATAAGTTTTCTTTTTAAATTTTTCCTTATCCCAGTAGCAGGGTGATGTAACTCGCGTGTAAATAAATGTAAGTCACGTTGATAAGAAATGCAACTGCAATCAAGCCAAAATGTAACTTGTCTAATATTTTATGAAACATAAGAAATAACAAAACATTGATTTCAATGTAAACAACAAAAATAAGGAATCTAATTGTTCAATTATTTTACGTAGATCGTGAATATGTTTTATTTTTAATATTAAGGCCATAAAAAATTAAAAAAGTTGCCAAAAAATAATTTATTTTACCAAAAAACATCTTTTTTGCAAAACAAAATGATTTTTTTGTTTCAATAGCAAAGGTTTATTTGTGATGTAACTTGTGTTATAGAAAATGTAAATCGCGTTGATGGAAAATCTAACTTAGATGTATGCAAAATGTAACTTGTTAAGATTAGTCCAAATGCAACTTGCACATAGGTAAATGTAACTCACGCATAAAAAGATGTAACTCGCACATAAGAAGGTGTAATTTCATATACTATCAAATATAAACAATGAAAACAATGACTCTAATTAGTCAATTAATTTACGTAAACAGTGAATATGTTTTGTTTTTAATATTAAGACCATAAAATATGTTTTAAATAAAAATCATTTTCAATAGCATGAGTTTAGTTTGTGATGTAACTCGTGTTGTGGAAAATGTAAATCGCGTTGATGAAAAATACAACTTAGGTATGTGCAAAATGTAACTTGTTGAGGCAATTCCAAATATAACTCACACATATGAAGATGCTGATCCAGAAGGGACGTGTCAGCGGTATCTCGCTGAAGCTCCAGGTGGAGGAGAGGGAGCGCCGCATGGACTTCATCCCCTAGGAGTCTGCCATCAACACCGAATGCATTGAGGTCAACAATGAGACGATTGAATTGCTTACTTAATTGGGTCTGGCTGAGCTCCCAGGAGTCGTAGTCAAGGAAGATGAATTCGGCGTGATGGCCGTACCTGGATTCGCAGGCGGACATGGTGGATTCGCTGGTGGTCGTGGTGGATTCGGTGGCGGTGGTCGGTACTGAAAGGCTCATATTCTTCTCTTTTCCTAAATATATCAATCAGTTCAGTTTGGGCAACACTTCTCCAATGTTTTGAGTTATGATTCTGCTGGAAAAATGAATACTTTGTTATGTTTTCAATGTTTGTTTTTTAAAAACTTCAAAAAATTAAGATGCAACTCACGCATAAAAAGATGTAACTCGCGTACAAGAAGATGTAACTTCATATACTATCAAATGTAACTCCAGAAATTGCCTATAAATATAACTCACACATGTGGAAATGTAAACACACATATGAAGATGTAACCCCATATTTCAGCAAATGTAAATTGAAATAGGTAATTTAATGTCTTAAAACACTAAAAACATATCCAAAAGAGAAAAAAAATATTTTATAGGAACAAGTGTATGAATATGAAAAAAAATTACAAAAAAAGTGTATAATATAAAAAAATATTACAGAAATAAAATTGTATATGAATGTGAAATGTACGTACCTTGTTTTATTTAGACTAATATTACAAAAAAAATTGCAAAATGTGTATGAAATGTAAATAGATATAAAAATAGTGTATGAATGTGAAATGTAATATACTTATTTTATTTAGATTATTATTATTTTTGTTATGAATTGATACAACAACAACATCCGAGCCTTAGTCCCAAAAGATATTGAGGTCGGATAACATGAATCGATACATGATATCACAACCAAAAGGAAAAAAAGGAATAAAGATAAAAAGATAAGCTATTATGAAAAGATAATATAAAAAAGATGAATATATATATAAATGATAAAATAAAAAGGTTGCAACTAATGCTTATAAATATATATATATATATATATATATATATATATATATATATATATATATATATATATATATATATATATAAGGATAAAAAAAACTAGGAAAAAAAAGATGAGGGAAAAAGATTATCAAGATCACTCCTTCACGTGAATACATGCCCTCATCCAACCCCACAAAAAGCATATCACTTCGAACTCCCCTAACCCACGTCTGTTTGGGTCTTCCTCTCCCTCTCTTCCCTGCCTCTTGTCCACACATCTCAACTCGCCTAACAGGTGCATCACTCGATCTTCTACGCACATGACCAAACCACCGTAGGCGCGACTCCCGCATCTTGTCTTCAATAGGTGCTACTCCCACCCTTTGTCTGATTGTCTCATTCCTCACGCGGTCCTTCCTAGTATGCCCACACATCCAACGCAGCATGCGCATCTCTGTCACACTCATCTTATGAATGTGACATTGTTTCACCGCCCAACACTCTACGCCATACAGTAATGCAGGCCTAATTGCTGTCCTATAAAATTTACCCTTCAGTCTAGTCGACATACCTCGGTCGCATAGAAATCCTGACGCACTCTTCCACTTCATCCACCCTGTTCTGATTCTATGGAATACATCTCCATCTAACTCACCGTCCTTCTGAATTATGGAGCCCAAGTAACGGAACATATCGCTGACCGGTATCTCCTTACCATCCAGAGTAATTCCGCTATTACCACTACTTCTACCTCCACCAAACTTGCACTCCATGTACTCTGTCTTGCTCCGACTTAGTTTGAAACCCTTATTCTCCGATGTTTGTCGCCATACTTCCAACTTTGCTTTAAGACCTGATTGCGTCTCATCAATCAATACAATATCGTCGGCAAACATCATGCACCACGGTATATCGTCTTGAATTGACTTCGTAAGTTCATCCATGACTATGGCAAATAAGAAAGGACTCAAGGCCGATCCTTGGTGCACTCCGATAGTAATAGGGAACTCTTCAGTCCTCCCTACACTAGTACGAACACTTGTAGTACAATCCTCATACATATCCATGATGATGCTGATATACTTGCGTGATATGCCTTTCCTAGTTAAGGCCCACCAAAGAACTTCTCGAGGTACCCTATCATATGCCTTTTCTAAGTCAATGAACACCAAATGCAGATCCTTATGAACATCTCTATACTTCTCCATAAGTTGTCGAAGAAGGTGAATGGCCTCAGTTGTTGAGCGACCAGGCATAAAACCGAATTGATTTTCTGAAATCTTCACAGTCCTTCTTTGTTATGAATTGATAAAGAATAAAAAATAGATTGAATTGTAATTGAAGTTGAAGATAAAGAAATGTAAAATTGTAATTACATTTTTAGTGTCTGATGGTAAAGAAAAAGAATTGTAGAAAAGAAAAATAAAAAAGAAGCAAAGAGAAAATGAATATGTACGGCAGGAGAACAGAATAAAGAAAGTAGTGAGATTGGCACACCATGCGCATGGTGTGCCGATCCCACGGTATAATTTGTGATAGAAAATTGATCTCCACGTTTCGAAAACAAAAGCCATGTTCCATATAGTTTAAAGAATCCAGAAATGGTATCTACTCTCTGGCTAGCACCAAGGATGTCTTACATGGACCGTTTTCGATCCCAAACCAGATCACACCGAACTAGATCAGACCAAATCACACTTGGACAATTATAAAATACACAGAGACTAAACATTTACCAAACCAGACCGGATCAGACTAGACTTGAAAATTTGACTACTTCAAGTAAAAACATCCGAAGTAGACCGAAAAAGTAAAAAATTACGTCATGTGTCGAACAAAAGTTACATACTTACATTTAAGTCATTTTTATTATACAAAATAATTACTATTTCCATCTAATGATATTTGAGAAAGTGACCATAATAATATGTAAATATAAAGGTGAAACTCTCAAGGTAAGGAGTCAATATTAAAGATGTTTTTAATCGAGTAGAACTTATCTATTATGTTCTTATTTACTCTGCTTTGATATGATCTAGACTTGTCTGATCCAATTTATTTAAGTTTTGTCTCATGTGGTTTGGAAGAAAAAGTTTACGTGCAATTACAAATTTACAATTGTGATTCCATCTAGTATGGGACAAGAACTAGACCAATTATAAGCATTCTAAAATTATACTCTGTATGAATGGTTGAAACCAAATTAATTTTATCAATACGGCAAGAGACAATTTTAGTGAGGCAAATGAAAAAGAAAAGAAAAAAGTGAATGTGTAATACATCGCTTATGTATTTATGTTGAAAATACGTACTGCACATAGTCATTGGTCGAAAGCCTCGATTTAGGGAGGTGAGCGTTAAGATACTATTTTTGCTTAGATTAACTATTGCCAATCTAGCTTAGGGAGGTTTTGATTTTTTTTATTGAGAAAATGGTCAGATAGGGC